CTCTCTCTCTCTCTCACCCTCCTCTCTCTCTCTCACCCCTCTCTCTCTCTCGCTCTCACAGCCGCTATTATCAATCCTGTACTTCCTACTGAAAAAATCCGCTACGCTGTTTTTTTCGCCCGGTAGTTTTCTCGTCATTTTTTTTCTACATCTGCTGTCGCGGCGTCTGCATCTCACTCACTCGTTCGTGTTTCTATTTCGCTTTCACTACACGCCCCCCCCCCACCCCACCTTCGAGTGTTGTCTGCTACATAGATCGTATCGTATGTCATGTAGATAAATATACATGCCGCTACAACTACAAGCTGGTGCACACATATATACACAGGTAGACACGTACGTACACAGGTAGGTACATAAATAAATACATACATACATACATACATACATGCACGCACGCACGCACACACGCACACACACACATACATACCAGGAGTAGATAATAGGGAATTACATAATTAATAGTACTAATAGTAGTAATTATAGTAGTAATAGGTAATTACATAATTAATAGGGTATCCCTATTATCTACTCCTGATACATACATACATACATACATACATACATACATACATACATACATACATACATACATACATACATACATACGTACATACGTACATACGTACATACGTACGTACGTACGTACGTACGTACGTACGTACATACGTACATACGTACATACGTACATACGTACATACGTACACACGTACACACGTACACACGTCCACACATCCACACGTACACACGTACATACGTACATACGTACATACGTACACACGTACACACGTACACACGTACACACGTACACACGTACACACGTACACACGTACACACATCCACACATACACACATACATACATACATACATACATATATACATATATACATACATACATACATACATACATACATACACACATACATACACACATACACACATACATACATACATAGGTACGTACATGTAGGAACATACATACACAAACTTAGTCACGTACGTACAAAGGTAGATACATACATACGCATCAGGTAGATACATACATACAATAACAGGTATAGTATATATATACATCAGGGCCACTTTCAGGGTATATTAGGCGTATAGACATAATGACATATTAACCACTGGGGCCACCCTTAAAAAATTGTTTGTTTCCCCTTTACATACTCGCCTCTCAGGGTACCGAGTAGGTAGGTAGGTGGAAAATCGTTTTGATTTTTTTTTGACAAGATGTGTGTATTTATATTGTATATTCTGTTTTGTGTATGTTTTTGTAGAAGAAATATGTTGTTTTTTTATGGCGAAACGAAATCATTTTTGTTTTGTTTTAATCGGCCAATAAAATGTGTCGAGTAGCGGCGTTTTGGCGAGTCGGTCGGTAAAGGGGAAACAAGCAATATTTTATCTTAGGCCTGATATGTATATAGGCAGGTTGATATACATGTACCTACACACAGGTATGTGGCGTTAAACCTTAGCACAGGGGTGGGCAAACTTTTCAAAGCGAGGGCCGCATCAGTGGGCCATGAAATGTCGAAGGGCCGCACCTTTTAAGATCAGGCGTTGCGCTCTAAGAAGTACGTGCGTTTTGCCACAAGGGCGCCATTTCTGGAACAAATAAAAAAATAAAAAAAAAAAATAATTTTTTTTTAAATCAATAGATTTTTGTGAAAGTCAACATGTTTGTGCTTGAACCGAGGCTGACTTTTTCAGTGTCATACAGATTACTGTTCTATTGTCTCTGGTTCGCTCTGCAACGCCATTTCAGCTAATTATGGCTGTAGGCTTCCGCGGGCCGCACAGAACCCCGTAGAGGGCCGCATGCGGCCCGCGGGCCGTAGTTTGCCCACCCCTGCCCTAGACCTATAAATCCTTCTTGAAATTGACAGTAAGTGGACGGCCCCGCCACCCCAGGTTCCGGCCTGGTTTCCAATGTGCCGATGGCAGCAAGATGATACCATTCTCAAGCAGGTGCGACGGCAAGAAGAATTGTCCCGACGGATCTGATGAAGAAGGAGGATGCGGACATCAACGCTGCAGCGAGTGAGTCGATAATAAACTACTTATTTTTTACAAAACCTATAATACCACTCAAATTGACTACGTCACTAATTTCCCTATGCTGTATATTTGTAATATTTTTTGTTGCTATTATTTTACATTAAAAGTAAGTACTAACGGGACTAAATGTATAAAATTCTTGCCTGATAAGATTGTTTCTCAACTAGTTAAAAATCCAAAAAATCTGGACGATTTGATATTATGATTCTGACATTATTTGCTTGCTATGGGTTATGTATGAGTCACGAGTGTATGTTTACATCGAACAATATAGTAAAATACGAAGAATAATACAGCAATTTAACCATAAAAAGTGAACAGAATTATATTCTTGACCAAACCAGTTAACGCTAACGATTCTCACAGAATACAATTTTTTTTACAATATACGAACGAAATAAAATCTTTCAAGTTTAGAAATACAAATTACTGCTAGCACAAGAACGGTAGGTGTCAGCACTATCTAATAGCGCTGACTCCTAACCAATGTATTGGGTTGAGTGTAAATACCAATAACCCAGTGGCGGTTCGAGGGCGGGGCACAGGGGGCAGTCGCCCCCTAGAATTTTTAGGGCAAAGGTATAATAGCATAACCCCCTCCCCCTCGGGCGCTTCGTGCTCTTGAGCTCGCATTATTCGCCCCACCCCCTGATCTGTTCCAATAAAGCGGTGCCCCCTTACTATAACTGAGTGTTTGATCACCGCGAACAAATCTGTTGTGACAGGTGATTGTAACATGTGATTGTAACATGTGATTGTAATATGTGATTGTAACATGTGATTGTAACATGTGATTGTAACATGTGATTGTAACAGGTGATTGTAACATGTGATTGTAACATGTGATTGTAACATGTGATTGTAACATGTGATTGTAACAGGTGATTGTAACAGGTGATAGTAACATGTGATTGTAACAGGTGATTGTAACATGTGATTGTAATTGTCTGCGTTTCAGTTGCAAGAATCCGACATGTAACTGCCAAGAGAGGCCGAGGTGTGCCAATGGATCTACCGAAGAAGATTGCGCCGAGCCCTGCGACCCAGAGAAGTAAGTTGACATTAAACTAATTATAACTCATGCAACGACTGCACGTAAATGTACGTATACGTGTATGTATACATACGTATGCATTACTTACACACGTCGGTACGTGTTCACCGCTTAATTGGGACATCCTCATAGTTTCCGATCTGTCCCCTATAAAGCGGTGACCACCGTACAGTTATATGCCCTCTGGCTATAACTGAGTGTTCGATTCGATCAACGCGAACAAATCTGTTGTTATCGGTGATTGTAACATGTGATTGTAACATGTGATTGTAACATGTGATTGTAACAGGTGATTGTAACATGTGATTGTAACATGTGATTGTAACATGTGATTGTAACATGTGATAGTAACATGTGATTGTAACAGGTGATTGTAACATGTGATTGTAACATGTGATTGTAACATGTGATTGTAACATGTGATTGTAACATGTGATTGTAACATGTGATTGTAACATGTGATTGTAACAGCTGGTTGTAACAGGTGGTGGTAACATGTGATTGTAACAGCTGGTTGTAACAGGTGATTGTAATAGTTGATTGTAACTCTGTGTTTCAGATGTAAGCTGCCGCACTGCCGCTGCCCCAGCATATATCCGCCGACGTTCGCACCCTAAGTACCCAGATGTACGACGTCACGCTGTTGCCATTGGAGACGAAGGAGCGAGACTGCGAGAGTAGTCTTTTAAACAATGCTAGTGTTGTGACTGTATCCATGTATCCGTGTTTGTATGTATGTTGGGCTGTGACGAAGCGAGTAGCTTATACATAGAGAAAGAAAGAGCTAGAGAGAGAGAGAGAAAGAGAGCGGAGAGAGAGAGAGAGAGAAAGAGAAGGAGAGAGAGAGAGAGAGAGAGAAGAGAGAGAGAGAGGAGGGGTGGAGAGGAGGAGGGGACTGTAATGTGTGTGGTGTGTGTGTGTGTGTGCGTGCATGTGTGCGTGTCGCTGGCGTGTGTGTGTGTGTGTGTGTGTGCGTGTTGGTGTGTGTGTGTATGTGTGTGTGTGTGTGTGTGTGGTGTGTTGTGTTTTGGTGTGTTGTGTGTGTGTGTGTGGTGTGTGTGGTGTGTCGTGTGGTGTGTGGTGTGTGTGTGTGTCGTGTGTGTGTGTCGTCGTGTGTGAATAATATACTGTCTTCAAATAATTCAATGCAAATCGAATTTCGAAACAAAAGCAACATTGTATTAATCAGTTAATAATAAGCTAGTGTAATTTTAATGTCGAATCTCTTGATTTGTTTTATAATCAGTATCATCGGGCTGATATTAATATAATGTGCGCGTTAAAACATGGAGAATGAATACAAATGTTTTTTTCAAAAAGACATATCACACTATAAATATATCGCTGGCGCTTTAAAATTAAGCCCGCACACTGGAATATATATTTGAACAAGCGATGATCGCTCGCTCTATACGCATATTTATGATTTTCCGAATAAAAAGCGTTTTTTTTTTCACTAGAACGTCAACTATCTATAGCACCAGGATAGTTGGAATTTTGTTCTGAAAATTTCCATTTTTGATTATAATGCGCTTATACGGGTAATAAACTCGACCGACCTGACGAGATCTTATCTAGGAGACTTACGACCGAATTTCCCCTGTTATTTATCATTCTCTCGAGCTACTATTGCTCTATCAACGATCAGCAAACACATAAATTTGCGAATAGCACTAACGTCATGACTGAAATGGTTGTGTTTGACACACACTACCATCTCACCTAAAACACATCCGCGATAACGCTCGAGTTTATAGCTTCAGCCAGTAGTCATTGGAACATTGTAATCTTATGCATTATATATATATATAATATAGTATATATATATACTATATATATATGAATTATATATATATAATATATGATATATATCATATTCTATATATCTATATTATATATATCTATTATGATTACTGAGTCGTATCATGAAACATCATTGAGTCTGAACATAGTGAGATATACATGTGTCTTGCCCGATAGGCTTGTT